TTCTAAAATCATCTGCTAAAAATTTACTTTTTGTTGATAACATCTGCATCATGCTGTAGAGAAAAGAAGCCAAACATCAAATTTGAAAGAAAAGTTTTAGCCAGTATCTTATAAGGAACATAAGCCAAATTAATTGAACGTCCTACTTTCCGGCCAAATTCAACTTTTGTTTAAAATGATATAGATTGAGTAGAGCGATATAAGCAATAAAGGTCGAAGTTAGGATGCGGTTCATAAAATTAGATGAAATAAGAGCATTTGTTGCTTTTTCGTACTAATATTTTCTCAAATTTTCTTCCAAACTAAACATTATGAATCTGTAATTCTGGTCGAAAAGGGCGTAACTCGATCGCGTTCACGCTACTCCCGTTTTTTGCCCATTATCCCTGCACTAACACCATTTCTTTCAATCGCCAGAAAGACGTGAATGTAGGCATTTCATTTGTCATGGTAATTAAGGATGCAATTTTCAAAACACATGTTGGATGTGCAAAAAAGAACTCATTATTTTGATATCATCAGCTTGTTTGGGCAAGTTTGAGCAACAAACTTACAAGAAATCTGTTCCAGACGTTGCCGAGTTGATTTTAGGTTTTGGTCTATCGATTCTATGAATTTTTCAAAATCAAACGTTTGTGTCGTTATTTCAAAAATCCAACTTTCTATGCTCATGCTCGCACTATATAGTAAACTTTTCTATGTATAAGGTTAAAATCTTTGTAACTCTCGACAAAATGCGAAAAACTTTGTGAAGTCCGACGAATACTCGAATGAATCGGATTTATGTACCTGCACTATGACACATTCCATGATTTTGTTTGCAAAAGTTATGCAAAACACCAACGTGGACCGGTATTCCGTATTCATAGTACTTTACATAATGCGTTCAAAGTGTAGTAACTTTTATGTCCCTATACTCCAACTCGAAATACCCAGCTGCACTGTGCGAACTATTCATAGGTTGTTATCTTGGAACTCATTGTTTTTATGGTGTTTTTGACCTTTATAGACCGAAAATTTAGCCCACCTCCAATGGTGATCACTCCTCCAGTATTGGTGAATCGCGTCCAAGCGTGCTCATTGTGCTGTCGCGAAAGGAGGTACGTTTACTCAAGTAACTAGCATTCACTAATAAAACACTCTTACTTTTTTTTACACTCGACTCCCTTATCTACAAACAATCTTTTTGTACTCATTTCCACGATAGTATGATGTTCCTGAAAGCAGTGATAAATTACTCATGTCGTTCACTGCAATTGTTACGCTCTACTGTCCGCTTTTTCTTCCTCTGCGATATTTTTACTTCATCTTTCGCACGTGCATTTTGCAAACGAATGATCGCAAAGCTTCTCGTCTGCAGTGTGAAAGGTCATTGGACAAAAGTTAAGAAATCTTGCGTCGTTGTTCAATGCCAGGGAGAAGAGCACTACGAAACGTAGGATACAGTATCTTAGGAAGTACGCAGGGCGTTATTTTAATGTCGTCGTTTTTCTATTAGATCCCAATTAAGAAGGAGCGTAAATATGTGGTATTTTTGATTGCTGAAAGGTCTAGTACCAATTTTT